ATATCACAATGATTCTCATGTTATTAGCTCATTAAGATTTAGAGACTAATGTTGGAGATAATTGTGTATATCTTAAATTCAGTGGGAGTAAATTTATTTTCCTGTTTTATACATCATGGTTGTTCTACTTAAGGTGCAAGTAGAATAAGTTAGTAAACCAGGAGATGTGTTGTAGCTAAGGAAGACAGTTTTGGTCTTAATCAGTGCCCCAATTATATATTGGAAATTAAGATACAAAATCTCTTAAATGCATATTTGCATTAAAGAACTAATGTATACTTTAGTTTATTCTCATCCCAATAAAGCATTTCTAGTAAGAGTTTTAGACAGATATTTGATTGATCTATGCATGAAACACTAGAAGGATTCAAACATGTAACGCGTTTACTAAAGTTGATAAAAGAATTCATGCAAATTTGTTAGAGATCGGATAATTTAGAGATCATCAAGTACTCTGACTCTTATGTTATAGGATGTCAAGGTAGCATAAACTCTATATCAGGTTACCCTTAAGTGTTGGAAGAGTTCAAATCACATCTTGCGCTTCCAATTATGGTTGCAAATTCTTGTCCCTATAATGACTTTGGTAAGTCATTTAAGGTTAATAGTGACAATGATTTGATAGTGCTACATATTATTACCGCGGATTTCAAAATTCAAATATATTGACATCAAGCTCCCGGTGGTTAAAGATAAAGTTCAAAATAGACAAGTTTCTATTGAACATTAAGGAAATGACTAATGCTAGCTTATCCATTAGCCAATGGTTTGACACATAACGTTTTTTTATATGCATATTGCTCGCATGAGTGTTATTCCGGAGGTACCTTGGTTTAGTGGGAGTCATTTAAGTAGTTCAATAGATTATGACTAAATCAATTCTACAGAATAAAGTGATGGTTTTCTAGAGTCTATTTTGGAATTTAAAGTGTCTTTCGTTATGCAGTGGTCACATTGTGTGAAGGAATTTCAGTTGATCTCATTAAGGACTAAAGTAGGACTAGTTGAAAATAGGCATGTTAAAGATCACATTGCATGTAATTTTCATGCCACTCATCCATATTTGATCTATGTCATTAAGTGTTTTGGTGTGGTGATCATGGTGGTTTAGCTTATCCATTAGCCAATGGTGTGACACATAACCTTTTTTTTATGAGCATGTTGCTCGCATGAGTGTTATTCCGGATGGTACCTTGGTTTAGTGGGAGTCATTTAAGTAGTTAAATAGATTATGACTAAATCAATTCTACAGAATAAAGTGATGGTTTTCTAGAGTCTATTTTGGAATTTAAAGTGTCTTCAGTTATACAGTGGTCACAGTGTGTGAAGGAATTTCAGTTGATCTTATTAAGGACTAAAGTAGGACCAGTTGAAAATAGGCATGTTAAAGATCACATTGCATGTAATTTTCATGCCACTCATCCATATTTGATCTATGTCATTAAGTGTATTGGTGTGGTGATCATGGTGGTTTATTCATTATTATATCGTGATTAAAGCTGCGTTGGTTCCATAATTAATACATGAGGTGGACCAGATTGGTTTAGGAGATGTCCAAGTACAAATAGCATACAGTTGCGCGCCTAAAGAATTTTTGTGATATAATTGTTTCAAGGAAAATATGCAGCCCAAGTGGGAGATTGTTAGGAAATTCTATTTCCTATAATGTTATGGGCCACATATTTTACAATTATATGAGCTATATGGTTATGTGGGCTAATTGAAAGTGATCCAAATCAGGAGCCCAAAGATGTCTTGGATTGATATGGGCCTAAATGGATGGAAACCCAATACTTATTCACCTTGGGTTTTATGAGAGCCCACGGTGACTAGTATATAAAGGAGTTGAGTTCGTGTCCCCAATACACCAAGAACAAAATATTCTCGTCTTCTCCCCATTAGGAAGACGAAAGCTCTCCTGTAAAGGAACTATGGAGGCTTGGTTAGGAAGGTCACAGTACCTCCTGGATCGTGCTCTAGGAATATCGTCCAGTTCCAGATCATCTTTCAGATTCCGCATCAAGTTCTTGGCGATCAATCGACACGTATCCAGGTATTTCTGTTCACCTTTGACAATCTGACGAGATGAACTTTCGGGGAAATTATATAGAATAAAATTAATTCTAACAATATCAAGGTAAGGTGAATTTTCCCAATAGAACCCTCCACCACTGAACATTAGGCTTCTTAATTCTGATGGTGTTCCAAACCATTGATACAGAGTATCAGATCATCTTCTTGCCCTGCCAAAGAACAACACCCTCTGAACACATCCATTCTATAGCATAGCAGGGTCTAATCTTCAACAGCTGTCTCCAAACCCATGATCTAGTAGTAGATATCTTAACATTCCATATAGATTTCCCTCGAAGTCTATATCGAAGGATCTAGGTCACCCAGAAGCTTCCACCTTGCAAAAAGAGAAGCCATAGGAGTTTTGTAGTACTGGAAATATTCCAGGTGATCAGATCTTTGAGACCTAACCCTCCCTCTTTCTTAGGTACAACCAAAATCTGCCAAGCAACTTTGGCTTTGCAAGAACCATCCCCAAACCATAAGAAATCTGAGCATAACTTTTGTATAAATTTAACCAATTTCTTTGGGATAATAAACACAGCCATCCAGTAATGAATTAATGAATAAATGACTGATTCCCTAGTTGTAACTTACCCGAATATGAAAGAAAGTTTGCTCTCCAGGAACGTATAAGACTAGTGATTTTATCAATCAATATGGCACATTTTGAGCTAGACAACTTTTCTGACACCAGAGGCAAACCTAAATAACGGACTGGGAGCTGCCCCTCTTTGAAACCAGAGACTTGAAAAGAAGTTGTTTTAAAATTATGAGCTTCTCCCCCAAAGAACACCTCACATTTGTCAGGATTACACTGAAGGCCAAAAAGATAATAGAAATTGTTTAAAACTGTTCTGACACCCCTCAAAGCCCTGCCAAACCCTTCTGTAAATATTAGAAGGTTGTCTGCAAAGCATAAGTGTGTAAGTCTTATATGTCTACACTGAGGATGGTAAGGAATTATGTTTGCAGAGGCTGCTTGATTAAGGAGACCTGTTAATGGCTCCATGGCAATGGTAAAAAGATAGGGGGAGAGGGGATCCCCTTGCCTAACCTCTTTTTTTACTCCAAAAAACCCAAATAGACTACCATGGACAGAAATGCTGAACATTGCAGACCGTAAACATAAAAAAATCCAGTCTATAAAGGTATGAGGAAGCTCCATTTTGGTCATGACACATTGAAGGAATTCCCAATTCACAGAGTCAAATTCTTTTTTAAATCCACCTTCACAGCACTCCTAGAGGATATGTGCTTTCTGTTATAGTTGTGAACTATTTCCTGGGCCATCAAAATGTTTTCTAGAATACTTCTACCCTGTATAAAGGCGGATTGGTTTCTACTAATGATGGAAGAAGGACAGTTCTGAGCCTATTTGCTAGTACCTTGGCTACTATCTTATACATAACATTAATACAAGCTATAGGTCTATATGCTTGAAGCCTATCTGCATTTGGAACTTTAGGGATAAATGTTAATGATGCATAATTCATACCTCTAGGAAAAGTTTTTGTGTGGAGGAATTGAATGACTCCCTCAATGATACTAGACCCCACCACTTCCCAGTTTCTTTGAATAAAACCAACATTCCATCCATTCCAGCCATCCATATCAAATACAACTGCCTTTATTTCCTGGCTAGATACTGGTGCACAAAGTGAGTCATGATCAGCCCGACTTAGTCTGCTCACTAGACAACTCTCAATCATCATAGGATCCACTCTGACATCCTTGTTAACAGTACCAAATAGATCCACAGAGAATTTGATAGCTTCATTTGCAATATCTTGAACCTCAGTCAATACCTCCCCATTTGGAGCAATTAGTTTCCTAATTTGCTTCCTTGTAGTTCGGATCTTGGCTGAGTTATGGAAGAAACCAGAATTTTGATCACCTAGAGCAAGCCTTTTGGTACGATATTTCTGTATGAAAAAAGCCTCCTCTGCCTTTAGTAGAGTAGAGTAGAGTAGACTCTTTTAGCTGCTGTAACTGCTGTAAAGATATCAGAGGATGGATTGTGCAAGGCCTGGAGTTGTAGTGATCTTACTTCCTTCCTTTGATCCTTCACACGAACAGAGATATATGAATAATGATTTTTATTCAGTTTCAGAAGTTTTTGCTTCAGAATATAAAGCTATTGCTTTATTGCAAAACATCATGTTCCTTTGACCCTCTGCAACCAACAATCCCGTATGATTTGCCTATAAGATTCATGCTCCTCCCACATATCAAAATATCTTAATGGTTTAGGAAAGCTTTTGGATGGGACACGGGGAGTAATCTTCATGCCACAGTGATCAGGGAAGTCTGGTGCAAGAAATTCTGCAACACTATAAGGGAAAACAGAAATCCAATCTACATTTACTAACAACCTATCCAGCTTCTTAGCAATAGGGTTGTCCTGCTGCTGGTTTGCCCAAGTAAAAATTAGACCTTTAGCCTTGTGATCAACCACTTCCATTTGAGTGATCCATTCTCTAAAGTCATTCATGCTACTGGTAATACCAACCCCATTTGAAGCTTCAGCCAGCTCAAGAATGGTGTTAAAATCACCACCAATTAGCCATGGAGCATTATGCACTTTCCACTTGCTCAAAGATTTATAGGTAGCCAGTCGTTCTTTCTCATCATTTGACCCATAAACTGTTGTGAAGAAGAAAGATCCACCGTGCTTGAGAGTGACCACTGTATGGATGTAGTTTGCCTCTTAAGCTAAGACCCTTAAGCTGACTTCATCATTCCATCCAATCCATACCCTTCCCAGGTTGTGTTCAGTGTAACTATCCACAAATTGAAAGTCAGGGAAATTCTGCTTTATTTATATAACATTTTTTGGGGGGTTTTTCACTCGTGTTTCTAGCAAAGAAAATTAAGATACTCTATGTATTATAAGATAGCGAAGCATGAAGTCATGCTTCAAGGGACTATTGAAACCCCTTGTGTTCCATAGAATGATGGTCATTACGAAGAGTAGTCACCTTGGTTACTGCCCCCTTACTGCGAAGATCCTCCTTACCCATTTTCTTAGGCACAGAAGCCTGCAACTTTATATCCTGACTGCTACAAAGAGCCTCAAAAGCATTACAATGCAACACTAGGAAGAATGAATTGACTATTGATTTTGATCCTGCTCCATTTATGACCTTGTTGAACTCCACTTGAGATGGCAAGGAACTTGGGGTTACTGGAGGTGCAATATCCACAACTACCTCTTTGACCTTACTTCCAGCCACCTGCTCACTCACCTCTTTCTCCAACCCAGTACCTACATCATCCGACCCAAGCTCAATCACCTTTGATCTTGCAACAACTATAGACTGCTTGACTCTCCAATTCCTCTTGTTAGCAACCCTAGGGGGAGGTAGAGAACAATCATGGCCAAATGATTCACACTTAGAGCAACAGAGCTGTACCCCAAAATACTCCACCCCTATGAACATTTCTCGCATATTATCGGGCGTAATACTTATCTTGTCCACTCTAGGCTTATTGGCTTTAATCTCAACACAAATCCTCACAGTACCCAGCTTCTTCCTATACGTAGTAGAATAGTCCATTGAAAGAGGCTTACCAATTGAACTTTGAATATGACCAAGACCCTCCCTCGATGACAGCTCCGTAGGAAAACCAGTCAATTGAACCCATACCGGAACTGCTGAATTATCGATCTCGATTGCTTGAATAACAGGATTCCATCGTCTGAGGCATATGATCTTATCCCGATAGTGCCATGGTCCTCATTCGAAACTCACCGACAAACCGACTCAGACGGAAATTGGAATATGACGAGACGATCCTCGAGCAGAGATAATTTCACCTCGCCTTCCTTGCCCCAATTCCAGTTTGCCTAAAATCGGAGTGTAGAGATAGACGGAGGATTGACGAGAAACTGCCCCACTAAGCTGTGCTCCCGGCGCTTCGCCCCCTCATCGACAACCGATTTAGGGATTTGAAGCGATTCGTTGACGAACTCTGGTTCAAAGTAATCGAGCCGATTTTCCTCTGCTACATGGAACAATGATGCCCAAGACCTACCGTCGCCAACGGCGCCCTGCGAGGCTCCGTCGTCGACGACGACCATCTACGAAGATGAAATCGCGCAACAGACGAGAGAAATAAGAGAGAGAGAGAGAGAGTATAATTTTTTTAAAACTTTTATAAATTAAAAATCTTGGCTTTTGAAAAGTCGAAAATCGCTTTTGTTAACATAAAAGCAGAAGTTTCGATTTGGAGCTTCAACGAAAATCTGTTTTGAAAATACAAGATTATCCTTATCTTATTTTAATTTTATTTTAGAAAATATAATTTTATTTTATTTATATTATTTTAAAAATAAAATAAATTATAAAATCATATTATTTAATATAAAAGAAATCTAACAAGTAACAAGAGTCCATTTTGACTACTATTTATTGTTTAAAATTTCTATTCATAGTTTATATTATAGTCATTTTACACAATCTACATATTAAAAATCACTTCTAATAGTTTTTCAGCCAAACACTCAACTTTTTTTTAAAGTACTTTTATAAAAGTTCAAGCCAAAAGCTACTTCTGCAAAAACTGCAGTGGGGCCAAACTAGCACATTATTCATTATGGGGTTTGCTAAAGGGTGGATTGCTCCATGGAACACAAATAATAACCAATTATGTTATATTATTTATTTAATTAATAGCACAATTTTCTCCACTGTTCATTACGATATTAGGGTTACTAGGAAGGTAAGTTTTTTCACATGAGTAAATATAAAAAACAATAGCTCCCAAGTCCCACCAGAACTAATCATAACATTACAAATGTCAATATTCATTATAGGATTTGCTAAAGGGTGAATTGCTCCATGAAATATACAATACCGTATTTGAAAAAGTAGGGGTGCTCCTCAGCTCCCATGCGTTATTAACTGGTAGAGGGGCTCGCCCGCTCCTATGAGGTATTAATCGGTAGGGGCGCTCTTCAGCTCCCATGCATTGTCGTTGAGATTTTGATTTTCCTTTGTGGTATAGCAATGTAGAGTGTTGATTTGTTCACATTACAATATATAATAGCTTTGGGATTCTAGTAGTGCGTTTGGCATAAATATTGAGAACAAGTAGATGCATGGCCTAGGGGATCCTTAAGCATGCAGTAAGTTTAGCATTGATTTGTATTGCTTTTGGCATCATATTGTCAGATATCGCAAAATGTAGCGTGATATGACATGATGTAATGCCACGGTGAGAATGCGTAAATGGAAAGGGCGGATCCCCTTTTGTGGATGGTCACTCGATTTGTGTTCCACCTTGTGGCAACCTTGATGAGTACGTGACACGATGCGTTGTATGATGAATGCTTGATGCAAATGTAAAGGTGATTTGGTTTCTTTTGTTTTGTCACAAGCTTTTCTTTAAATTGGTCGACCCTCAAGAATCATGTCATTACTTTCAACTTAATCGGTGTTTGATCTTGTCTGAAGTGGGATGGCATATGTATTGATATGTTGTCATCCTTAAATCATCAGTTGTTAATAAAAGAGTCAACTTTCATTTCGATGTTCGCCTTGTAAATTTGCTGAACTTCTTTTCGCTTACTGAAAAGGCTTTATACGAAGATGTTGCATTAGGTCTCCATTGAGTCTGCAGAATATTTGAGACACATTGAATTTCTTTTGAGTGGTCTCAGATAAAATTTCCTTCTCATTTTCCCATTGTTTATCATTGTAGGCGGGGAATTCTCGAGTCGACTTCTTAAGACTGTAACAATTATTGAATCTTTCCTTTCTTGTGCGGGGCAAGACCAAGGGAGGAAAGGAACAAAAAGACGACGTCACCCTAGTTCTCATGAGAATTTTTGTTAAATTGCTTCGAAATTGTTATTGTTCCTTTTGATCGTATGCTAGTCACGAATCGTTTAAACTTTTTGAGACTGTGAATCCGTAGCTAGTTTAAGCGAATGTATAGTTGTTGGGTGACTATCACGGGGTCATATTTGTGATTGGATGGTATAGGATGCAACAATCAGTTGCAAGTTGGGGGCAGAATGATAAGTAAAGGAGAGTAACAAGTGCATGATTGAGACGAATTCTCATGGAATTTTATTGATGGGGCGTAAAAGGAAAGGATATAGAGCAAGTACGAGAAATACTAAAGAGATTCATGATTTGACAGTCCACCTTGCACTTGTCCCATTATTCTCGTGGGTTTGATCGAGCGTTACTTCGTCCTCAGGCATAGTATTTTTTCACCGAGTCAGAGTTCACTAGATATGGTAACTCATCCCCGTCCATATCTGTTAATATAAGCGCTCCTCCTAAGAAGGCCTTCTTTACTACATAGGGATCTTCGTAGTTAGGGGCCCATTTCCCTCTTGGATCTCCTTGTCGGAGCAGAATTTTCTTTAAGACCAGCTCTAATTCACGAAATTGTCTCGGCTTCACCTTTTTTCTCAAATGCTCTGATTAAACGTCTTTGATAGAGATGACCATGACGGATGGCCCTTAGCCTTTTTTCCTCAGTCAGGTTTAACTGGTCATACCTGGCATTAACCCATTTGGCATCTTCGAGTTCTGCTTCTTTTAATACCCTCAAGGATGGTATCTCTACTTCAATTGGCAACACTGCTTCCATCCCATAAACCAGAGAAAAAGGTGTTGCACCCATCAATGTTCTCACTGTTGTTCTATATCCATGCAGAGAAAATGGTAGCATTTCATTCCAATCCTTATATGTGATCACCATCTTTTGGATGATTTTGTTAATGTTCTTGTTTGCGGCTTCGACATCACCGTTCATCTTGGGCCGATATGGTACAGAGTTATGGTGTTTGATTTTAAATTGTTCACAGAGTTAATCCATCATTTTGTTGTTCAGGTTTTTCGCATTGTCGATGATCATCCTTTCTGGCAATCCATAACGACAAATAATCTCCTTGATAAACTTTACTACCACACTTCTGGTTATGTTCGCGTAGGAGGCCGCTTCCACCCATTTGATGAAGTAATCTATTGCTACTAAGATGAATCGATAACCATTTGATGCTTTGGGTTCGATTGATCCGATAACATCTATTCCCCAGACGACAAAAGGCCAGGGTGATGACATGACATGGAGGGGGGCATGGGGAATATGAATTTCATCCGCATACACCTGGCACTTGTGGCATTTCCGAACATAGTGGATGCAGTCTCCCTCCATTTTAGTCCAGTAATACCCCATCCTCAATATTTTCCGAGCCATGACGTGACCACTTGCATGTGTACCGCATATACCTTCATGTATTTCTTCAATTATTCTTGAGGATTCCTTTGCATTTACACATCTCAACAGTGTTGAGTCGTGGTTTCTTTTGTACAAGGTCGATCCGCTCAAATAGAACCCATAGGCCAATTTGCGTATAGTCCTTTTGTCATTTTCAAACGCCCCTGGCGGGTATTCTTTTTCTTTGATATAGGTTAGGATGTCATAATACCACGGTTTGCCATCTGGTTCCCCATCAATATTCATGAGGTATGCGGGAGCATCTCGTTTCTTGATCTTAATACATGGTGCTTCACCCATTTCTTCCATTTTGTACATCGATGCGAGGGTAGCCAACACATCTGCAACTTGGTTTTCCACTCGTGATACATGTTTGAACGTTACTTCTTAAAAGTGCAATATCAATTCTTTGATGAGCTTCTGATATGGGATGAGCTTTGAGTCTCAGGTCTCCCATTCATCTCTTATTTGAAAGATTACTAGTGCAGAGTCTCCATACACCTTCAACCTTTTTATCCCCATTCCAAGTGCGGCTCGTATGCCGAAGGCGCATGCTTCATATTCTGCCACATTGTTGGCACACGTGAAGCAGTGTTTGGTTGTAATTGGCATTATTTCGCCTTCCGGGGACATAAAGACGGCCCCCACTCTTTGCCCTAAAGCATTAGAAGCTATGTCAAACTTCATGATCCAACTCCCATGTGGTAAGCTTTCTTTTTCTTCCTCTGTTGTCATTATGTTCTCATCTGGGAAATCCATTATCATGGATTCGGGATTTGTAATAGCATGCTCTGCTAAATGGTCGGCAACGACGCTCCCTTTAATTTCTTTTCTTGTTATGTAAACAGTGTCGAATTCTGCTAAGAGGACTTGCCATCTGGCGAGGTGCCCAGCAAATGTGGGGTTTTCGAATATGTACTTGATGGGGTCCATTTGGGATACTAAATGAGTTGTGTGATACAACATATACTGCCTTAACCTTTTTGCTGCCCAAGCTAGGACACCACATGTTTTTTCTAAAGCCGTGTACTTACACTCACAATCATTGAACTTTTTGCTGATGTAGTAGATTGCATGTTCTTTCTTTCCTTGTGCTTCTTGTTGTGCCAACATTGCCCCCATAGAGTTTTCGAATACCTATAAGTACAGCGTCAAGGTTTTTTTTTGGCGTAGGAGGTGCTAGAAGAGGTGGTGGGTTTAGCATGTATTCTTTAATATGCAAAACACATTTTGGCAATCTTCGTCCCATTTGAATGGTTGGTTTTTCTTGAGTAGTTTGAAAAGGGGTTCACATGTAGAATTCATATATGAAATAAATCTACTGATGTAGTATAGGCGATCGAGGAACCCTCTTACTTCTTTCTGGGTTTTGGGAGGCGGCATTTCTACTAATGCTTTGACTTTGTCTGGATCGACTTCTATTCCTTTCTGACTTACTAGAAACTGACTCGCTACGGCACAACACCTAACAATGGCCAAGTGTAACAAATGAAAGGGACTGCAGTATAGTGGCACAAGTAATAAATATCAAATCCACGGGTCTCTAGAGTTACTATTACTCAGCTTCAGTTCATTATCTAGCAAACTAGATTAAGGATTGATTTACTAAACTAATCTACTAACTACTCTACTAATTACAAGTTGGGAACTCACTTAGGTATGATTCCCCCTAGCTCCTCAATTAGGTCCAAGTTGCAATTACCTTTGGTTGATCTACTGTTGATTAAACTGCGGAAGATCCTAATTAAGCTTGGAATCTCTTAAGCTGTCCAAGTCCTCTTAGACAGAATACCCGGCAGGCGACTAGCCTTCACCGGGATAGACTGCTAAGGCGATTCACACAGATCTCCACTACTGGAATGAATTCCAGTACAAAGCAGTGAATTGATTGACTCTCGCACAACCAATTCACCACTAACAATCAAGGAAGCTCTCTTAACATAATCAGATTCTATCTATCATAGGTTAAAGCAGAAATCAAGAGAATTTGATCCAGATTCAATTGACTCAATAAATCATGCCTCAATCGATTATAATCAAACAATATAGCATCCAAAACTTCATACAAGAAAGATCCTAACACATGGAACTAGGGTTCCTCAAAACCTAAGTGAAGGGAAGTTACTCCATAGAGAAGAGAGAGACTGCAGAAATCTGATATTGATCTTCAATCTCCATCTCCAAGCTTGATTCCCGAGCTCTAATGGCGAAGAAATCCTCCAAAATAGCTCCAAGAATGTTCCCAAGTCGCTCTCTCTCTCTAGGGTTCGTTCCTTGGGTGTTTGGGAACCAAAACCCAGCTTTCCCTCTCATTTGGCTCGAAATTTGGCTTAAAACCAGAGATTCCCGACTCACACGGCCAGGCCACACGGTCGTGTGGCTTACCCAGCTGCCCGTGTGAGTGCCAAAACGCGGAGTTTCGATTAATGGGCAACCAGGCAAGCTACACGGGCAGGGGCCACACGGCCGTGTGGCTCCCCAGGATGCCCGTGTGAGTGCTCGGTAAATCCCACACGGCCACATGGCCAGGAACACGGCCGTGTGGGTTTTAGGTGTGCCCGTGTGGCTTGCTCAGCCTCTGTTTAATGCTTCGTTTCTCCCTCGTCCGGACTCCGAATCAGTCGCCGTTTGATCCCAGACGCTCGTAGTCTCGTCCTCTTTATTTTCATGAAAAAATTACATGATTATTTGTCCATAATATGAGGTAGAAGTCCATTATTCCTCAGGTCATGCTCATGTTTTTTCTCCCGAATCGCCAAATGATCTCCGATTGACTTGAAACTTGCGCCTATGCTTCAATTCACATGCTAGGACCTGAAATGTGACAAAGGAACACAACCTAGCGTAAAATAGTCCAAGAAAGCAGAAACTCAAGCCAAAATGATCAAGAAACGAGGGTGCAAACATGTGAAAATCCGATGTTATCAAACTCCCCCACACTTAACCGTTTGCTTGTCCCCAAGCAAACCAAGTCAGACACAAGGTAAGCTCACAATTTCAATCATACCAACATTGGGGACAAATCATATTGGCACAAAACATGGGAATCACACCGGCTTTCAAACATCAACACATGAACAACTTCAACCGCAACCTGGACAACCACCACAGAGGACATTCGAGTGCAGAAAAATTGAGTAAAGGAGGAGTCTCCCTTCTGTTCATCAATCAACATAGACTTGACTCAACCACTTACTCAAGACAGTCACCTCATGCACAAAGCTCAAGATATCAGAATAGAGACCGAGCAATCTAGGTCCTCACCGGGGTACAAGAGTATAGAGAATATGAGAAAATGAATTGCTCACTCTCGACCAGTGGGGTCAGGACAATATGAGAAAATGCGCATGCTTATTATCTCAATGCCTAACATCTCTTCACCATGACGGCAGTTTCTAAATGCTAGAGTTCACATATGAGGTGTCACCACTAACTAATCCGGAGGTCTTAGACACAGGTTCAGATGACTAGCTAGGGTCTTGGACATGGGGAAAAGGCCTTTTAGGTGGTGCAAGTATTCGTAGCACAAGGTTCCACAATTCCAAACCCAACACAATCACAATCAATCAAACCACTTACTTCCTTTCTGCCATTCTGCATTACTCAAATTCTTACGAGCACACGAGCGAAGGAGGTTATATAAATGTCAGCATTTCCAAGCCAGACTGCTAAGAAACACTACTTAATGGGCACTATTCAGATTTTTGGTAGTGGCTCTCTTTTGCTTTCATTTTTTTTTTGCTTTCATTCTTTTTTTCATTCCTTAAGAGAACCACCACCTCTGCACATATTTCAAACATATGCCCAACTTTTAAGCACTACCTCCAACCCTCACATTATATTTAGCAGAAACAACAGAGAACATGTAAAAACCACTCCGTGGAACCTTCTAAAAGATGCAAAAGGGTGATTTTTCATTGCAGACCGAAAGAAAGGATAACACACGACTCAAAGGGGCTAACTAGGGGGTATGACACACCAGGACAGTTAATTTGGTTGTGGCCTAATCCTATGCCTCCATCATCTTAGCTAATGACAACGTGAATGCTACCATCATGGAAGAGGGATCTATCGCACAAGAAAGAAACGAGCAGGCTCAAATCTCACATGGCTACCTATATGCTCTATCTCTCATTCTGATTCCCTGAACTAGATGCATAAACGACTGTCAAGAACAAGTGATCCATTCAAGTCACAGTTGGTAAGTAAACAGTTGAAATACTGAACCCCTACACAATCCTACTGCACGTCTCAGTCATCATTATAGGTTGTCCTAGTCACACCTCAGTTGTCATGCATTAAGTCGAAAGCCATTCAATTCACCAATTAAAACCACAGTGCCAATATGATCAAGCAAACAGCAATACTTGGAGCCCTCAAATCTCGAGATTTGGACAGCGGACTAGGCTCCAAGCACATGTATATAAATTCCAACCGATACAAAGCACCCCCACACACACACACTTAAGCACAACATTGCCATCAATGGAGCAGAGGGAGAGATAAGAGGAACGATGTTACTGGATTGAAATACTGCAGAAGACTGGAAGTGGACCAGTCAGCGGGTGACATATGGAACGAACGGACAGTTCTGCACTAAGGGAACATAAAAAACACACTAGCACATGTTTGTTAGGGATCAGAGGTGACCCAGATGGCCACAAAATAAACAATCCACTAAAGAAAGAAAAAGGATAAAAACAAACGACAGACTCAGTTCAAGCTCCTCAAACACATGGAGCAAACACAAAAAGTCTAAAACAAAAACACACACTGAGGGGCGACAAGTACAGCTTACTCGTCGCCAAGGTTGTCTAGATCGATGTCATTCATGAATGCATCATCATCATCAGCTGGTGGAGGTGGAAGTGGAGAGTCCTCCCAGGGAGTCCTCCAGACTGGCTGCTCACCTGGTAGCAGCTGGAGCAGGTGCTGCTGGACCTCCTGCATGCGCCAAGAACGGGTCTGCTCCCTCTCGATGCAAGCCAGGGTCACCCCCTGCTGGGTCTCCATCCAATCCTGACGCTCATCATAAGCGGCCATCCGTGTCTGGTACTCGGCATGGTGAGCCGAATACTGCTCCTGAAACTAGAGCTGATGGTCGTAGAGCTGCTGATGCTGGAGACGCAGCTACTCGAACTGCTGAGTGAAGTAGTCCTGGCCGGGGAAAGTGGAACTGCCACCCCCGTACTCGAAGGTGGTGGGGCGGCCGGCAGCAGTATCATCCACATCCTTGGGGTGGACATCCTCATCAGCCGCACCCTCGAAACCTCCGGCTGGCCCTCCGCTGGGATATGAGGTTGAGGAAACCCCTCGATCCACTTAACACCTCGCTCTTCTCGAAGCAGGTGCATTTTACCGATCGTAAACTCGCCAAAGGCACTGGTGTCTCCCTGCTCTGTGCACCCCTGTAGTGATATCTGGAAGTAAGTGGCCAAGCGGGTGATGAGGGGAGTGTAGTGGAGTTTCTTCAGCTCGGAAGCACTCTTGTCGAAGGTCCTCGCCACCATCGAACCCAAGTGGAGGGGATGATCCCACTGGCGCATAGACTGGATGAAGTACATGGCTCTCTTGGTGATGGCGCTGGCACTGTTCGAGACTGGAGTGTAAGACTTGGCCAGCAGGTGATGGAGAATGCGGTTGTCGAGCTGCAATGTGCTGGCCTTCGTCTTCCCCGCCGAGAAGGGACCCTGGCCTGGCCGAGCGAGGCGTGTGTACAGTGTCTTGAAGTTCACCCCCTCTGGCTCGATAAGCTCGGTGATGTAGTCCCTGTCATCGACCAGGCAGAGGTCGAGGGCGGCCGCCAGCTCGTGGTAGCTCATGGATCGGGGTGAACCGCCGAGCCTGAACTTGACGACTTCTCCTTCCTTCCAATTCTCCGTGTCAGTGTGCTGGAAGGTCGTGTAGAACTCAAGCACGAGCTCGTGGTAAACCTTCTCGCGAATGTAGAGTAGGCGGCGCCAGGGGCGGTTGGTGACAATGGCGGAGAAGTGCTCGTAGCAATTCAGCTTCTCCAACTCTCGCTTGGGCCAGCAATGATGCTGCCCAAACTTGCAGGCCAGGACGTTCTTAAAACGATCCTGGTGGGGCCCCCTTCTCAAATCTTGAACAAACGGGTGC